ATTATGGTTTGTCCTGAGGAAGGAAAAACTAGAGTGAATAAGATAACACGAAAAGATAGCAAAACAAATGTTTTCTCCACATTTTTTTGTCTTAGAGGTAGCTTTTTGTTTGATGAATTTCCCTTCGCTTATATGGCGATTACTGAGTGTTTTCCACATCAATTCTGCAGGGGCTCTAAAATCTAGAGTCTTCGAATTGATTTTGGAGGCAGAGACAGGTAGAATACTTTCTAGGACTCTTACTATTCTATTTTCATATGTTCACAAGATTGAAAATGTTCAGGATAGATCCTGAAGTTCAGAAGATAAATTACGTGTTGAGAGTTATTATTTATTACTCAATAGTGGCCATAATGAACCGGGGTATAAATGATGTTGAAACCATGACTTGCGACATAAGAATTTGCAAGGAGAAAATTGAAATAGGAGTTGACTGGTTTGTACATATACACCTTTATGAGTTGTTCTTGGTTCTTTAGTTCATGTTATTGCACTATACGGAGGTGGAGCGACTGCAATTTTGTATAAAGATTTCCTTTATTGGGTTTTTTCAAAACTACCTTGTAAAATTTCCTTCTTTACCTTTTTTTGATTGGTAATGTCTATGTTAGTTTCGTTTCAATTTTAATCTCCTTGTTTGGAACAATCTCCAGTTCGTTCTTCTTGTCTTCCTCAACATAGGGTTAATTAAATCATCCATATTCTGCAGGTGTCACTTTAGCCACTGAAAGAGGCAACATTTTCTGTGCATAACGTGCTTAAAGATTAACTCTGGTTGATTTGATTGATATGTTCAGTTGAAGAAGCAAATGATGGGCTGCCAGAGTCTGATATGAAACACTACTTCGCCCATCTTTTATAAATTTCCGGAAATATGGTATTCAATAAAGTTGCAGAGTTCTTTTCTGCTGCAGTAACTTATCTATCAGTGCCTAAATCTTCTAATCCCTCACCAGGATTGCCTCCTCTGCCAGTCTCTATTCGTGGGTTTTCTTTTGCAAGCGAAGGGCAGAAAAATAATTTGCGGCTCTCCTCGTCCCTTCAAGATTTCTCTACTTATCGGCAACTTGATCCTGAAGAAGGTCATAATTTCCTTGAATTCCAGAAAAATAAAAGTAATTCAAAACAGTCTAATCTGTTGCTAAGAGAGGATGCTGGATCAAGTTTTTCAAAGGAGAAGGCCAACCCAGTGGTTGCTTCTGCCCAAAAGAAATGGACTCGAGTTATCTTACTTCTCCTCTGCGTACTGTTATTTGCTTTTGTTGTTTATGTATCACAACATTTATACTTTAGTTGGTCTCAAGGGGCACCCAAGTACTATGTAGTGCTTGACTGTGGTAGCACTGGGACCCGTGTCTATGTCTATGAAGCTTCTGTGCATCAGAAAAGTGATAGAAATCTCCCTATTTCATTGAGGTCACTGCCAGAAGGGTTTAAGAGAAAATCAAGTTTGCAGAGCGGGCGAGCTTACAACCGAATGGAGACTGAACCTGGATTTGATAAGTTGGTGCATAATATATCTGGACTGAAGGGAGTGATAAAACCACTTGTTCGCTGGGCAGAGAAACAAATCCCTGTGCATGCACATAAGTCTACCTCCCTCTTCTTGTACGCAACAGCTGGGGTTCGCAGACTGCCAAGTACAGACTCGGAATGGCTTCTTAATAATGCCTGGTCCATTTTGAAAAGTTCTTCTTTTTTGTGCAAGAAAGAATGGGTTAAGATTATCACTGGCATGGAGGAAGCATACGTTGGATGGATTGCGTTGAATTATCATACTCATGTTTTGGGTGCTGTACCTAGGAAAGAAACCTTTGGTGCCCTTGATTTGGGTGGTTCGTCATTGCAGGTTACTTTCGAGAGCAATGATGGGGTGCGAGATGAAAGTAGTTTAAAGCTGAGCCTTGGCCCTGTTAATCATCGCCTCAGTGCCTATTCATTGCCTGGATTTGGATTAAATGACGCCTTTGACAAGTCGGTTTTTCATCTTCTGAGGAAGCACCCTCAAATTGGTAGTGCAGATCTTCTTAATGGGAAAGTTGAAGTTAAGCATCCCTGTTTGCAATCTGGTTATAAAGAGCAATATGACTGTTCTCATTGTGCTTCCCTTTATGAAAATGATGGGACTCCTCCTATTGGACAAAAGAAGTTTGGTACTGGAGGAAAACCTGTAATACCTCTTCAGCTTGTCGGCACTCCAAAATGGGAAGAGTGCAGTGCACTAGCAAAAATTGCAGTCAATTTGTCTGAGTGGTCAGATCAAAGTCCTGGAATTGATTGTGAGTTGCAACCTTGTGCTCTTGCAAGCAATCTACCTCGGCCCTATGGCAAGTTTTATGCTATGTCTGGCTTCTATGTGGTGTATCGGTTTTTCAATTTGAGCTCTGATGCTGCACTTGATGATGTCTTGGAAAAGGGTAAGGAATTTTGTGAGAAAACGTGGGATGTTGCAAAGGTAAGTGTTGCACCCCAGCCCTTTATTGAACAATATTGCTTCAGAGCACCATACATTGTGTCATTGCTGAGAGAGGGATTGCACATTACAGACAGTCATGTAATTGTTGGGTCTGGGAGTATTACGTGGACACTGGGTGCTGCTCTGTTGGAAGCTGGGAAAGCAGTTTCAACAAGGTTGGAATTTCAGAGTTATGAGATAATGCAGATGAAGATAAACCCCGTTGTTCTTTTTTCAGTTTTGATTGTTTCATTTTTTATTCTACTTTTCGCGTTATCCTGTCTTGGCAACTGGAGGCGAAAAGTTTTCCGTAAGCCATACCTCCCACTTTTCAGGCACAATAGTGCCTCAGCGGCATCAATTATGAGGTTCCAGCGATGGAGCCCTATCAGTTCAGGTTAGATCCTTTAAGAATATGACTTCATCCGTTGACGATGTGCTTGACCATGTAGTTCTAACTTTTGGTATTATTACTAATCATTATTTTTGTGCAAACGTCATGGGGACTGGTATGTTTTTTCTGTGTCTTGGGACTACTAATGCCATGTATTGTTCTTGGGGGGGCAGGATGTCAGGAGTATGTTGGTTCAACTTGCTTTATTTTAACTTCAAAGACCTTTCTGATGGACAACTTAGAATATTTATTTTCTCATTTAGGGCACTTCTTCTTTAAGTGCATGTTTCTATGTTTGAACTACAATGCATTAAGCAATTAGGTCTTGTTTACCATTCAGAAGAAAGTATGATGACCTCGGAGCACTATAGTAAGCTCAACTATATAGATTTAAGACTGTTGTTTGTACATTACTTTTCCTACGTTCCTTATTTCTGTTTCTTGTGATTGATTTTAGGATGAGATAAATTCCTTTGACTTGAATTCTCTCTCTCTCTCTCCAACCCTTATTTAGATTATTATCTATACATAAAAAGCTTTTACTTTGCTTAATCTTATTAGTGCTATGATTTGATTCTTCCAGGGGATAGAGTTAAGATGCCGCTGAGTCCAACTATTCAAGGCACTCAACCAGGACCATTTGACACAGGGCATGGTTTTAGCGGGGGTGGAATCCAGCTTACAGAATCTTCCATGTACCCGTCCTCCAGCAGTGTGTCACATAGTTATTCATCAGGCAGCTTGGGCCAGATGCAATTTGACAATAGTACCATGGGTTCATTTTGGGGACCACATCGAAGTCAGATGCAGCTGCAGAGCAGGAGATCTCAGTCTAGGGAAGACCTTAATACTTCACTGGCTGAGGCACACTTGGCGAAGGTCTAAGAATGTCCTGATTTTTTGACCTGCCTGAAATATCCATGTTGGGCAATGTGAATCCAGTCCAATGGATTTGGGATCCTGAGCGGGATCAATCATTTTACATCTTCATGAAGGGGATGCCTTTGCAGGTGAAGAGCTGGCTGACTGCAGCTGGCTATTTTGGAGAGAATTTTCCTAAATGCGATTTGGAGGACGACGGTCTTTGGAAAGACTTTTGCTGCTAAATGATGGAGTTGAGCGGTAGCGGATGCAACCAGCCAAAAAATCTCTAATGATGATTACTGATGTTGACAGGAGTTAGAGTTTGTGAATATTATTAAGACTAACTTTGTTATGGATGTCACCCGAAACAGGCCATTGAAGTAAGTTGACAACACCAATGGTGCACTTCAACAGAAATGCAGACAACTGCTGAATATCAAGAGGGAGTTTTGCAGTCTTCTCACCCGTTTCTTGATTGTTTGACAAATGGTGATGGTAAAGCACAATGGCATCTTAACAACTTTTCTCACAAGTTTTGGGTACTTGCTCCCATGGATACGCGACCAAACATTCTGTTATTGAAAACAATCTTGACAAATTCATCAGCTCATTAGTACATTCTTTTGCCTCTTTTCTTTGGACATCCAGGTGCTCACGTTTCTATTCTTTTCTTCCAACGGCACATCCGGACATTCTTGTCAATTGGATAATTGACACGTGCGACACGAGTAGTTCATTTAATCTTCAGGTTCTAATAGACAGGGAGTCTTCAACCTCAAAGTTCGCCTAGCACAGTTGTCATCTCAAAGTTAAGAATAGCCGTCTGCTTAAAAATATATATATAAAAAAAAAATCATTCTAACTCTTATATTTATGAATGTCTGACTAGCGAGTTTGTTGCTGGAGGCAAGGGCAATAAGGTGAGCGGATTTTCACCTCCAGCACCCTCAGGCACTACCAGACGGAGAAAACCAGTAACAAGTCAACAATCATTTTCAGAATTGTAAGCTTTTCTTCAACACAAAAACAGGGCTCTAATTTGTTGCCCAAAGAAAGCCTAAGCTATTCGGGTCAAAACCTTGCATATTCAAAAACAATGACCAGTTACCCTATGCCAGCCGCAGTACCATTCTTTTATTTCCCGCCTCCCCCTCTCTCTTGTTGGGCAGTTGGGCCTTTTTGAGTTGGTGATGGGTTCACCATACTTTAGCCTAGGGCGCAACATTAATAAAATACCTCACCAAAGCTTAAAATGCGACTACAATTTTATTTCCCGAAAATACAAGATCAAGCAATCGAATGATCAGATACTGTCAAAAAAAAAAGATCAGATACTGTCAAAACTCTGAACAGAGTGACAAGTCAAACGGCAAGGGAAAGAAAAACCCCTTGATCCTCGTGTTATTACAACAGCTCCAAAACAAAACAAGAAAAATAAGAGGCTACCAGCTGTGGCATTAAGACTCAGCCCAAAAAAGTCAGCCGCACAGTTTCCTCTCAGCTGCCACAACTAGAATTAGACATGAATACTAGAAAGCAGCCAATCTCCAGAACTGCATCCGTGAAAGTCACAGATAGGATCCGAGCTGCACTTTATCGGATGGTAGCGACACTAAGCTAACAGAAAGCTAATTCTAGTGAACATAAAATGGTAAAGAGTTGCTCATTGTCTCAAACAAGTTATAGCTCAAAATGGTGTGCCTGCGCATCTACATTCTTGCAATTGAAAAGCCAACTTAACAATTTTGATATCCTGCTGCTCGCATGTCTGTTTTCTGATTGTTCTACATTTACATTGCAAAGTGCATCGTAGTCGTGCTTCAAATGAGGTGCAGCTATTTGTTGCTGAAAGAACAGAGAATGGATTTTTAACAAATTAGATTGAAACATAATTTCTTAAAACCCAGTTCAGAATACTGTGATGTGCTATCAAGAAGTGATACCTTAAACACGTCAAATGGACATAAATCAGAGTTCTTGCAACCCTATACACAAGGAAAAAACCATAGACAAAGTTAAAAGTTAAAAAGAATGAGAGGGAACATAAAAGAGAGCTGGAAAACATGGCCAGGGTCCAAGAACAAGAAAGGAAAGAAAAAAAAAAAACTCCTCATACAGCTAATGTACTACAAAGAGTTGAACAATTACCTATTAGAAAGCGCAAAAAATTAATTGAAAGGAAAAGAAAGAAAAGAAGAAGCATGCACTTTGAAAAGAATTTTCAAAAGTTCCAGTTCATGACAGATAGATAAAAGATTGACTGAGAAAATGGAAATGATTAACATTTGCTGGCATCAGTATTTGCTAAAACATTTGCTCATTGCAAAAATAAAAGAACAAGTCGATGAAGTCTTTGTATGACAAATAGATTAACACAAGGAAGATGTTCTCATAAAATCCATGAAGAGCTTACCGGCATTGGAACTGGATGTTCATTATGTTGTACATGTACAAAATACTTGCTTGAATTGTTGTCAGGGCAGCTGTAGAGGACTAATACGTTGTTTCCAGCAAAAGGTGCCACAATGCTACCTTTCCAGTTCCTCTTTTGTGGTGGCTTAGGAGGTAGTTGTAAAGGTTCTTCCCTTTGTATTCGGTCAAATTCTGCAGTATCCAGTAGGAATAAGCCTACTAAGAAGCGGCAGATAGAAATATAACCAAGGATGCACAAAACGTGAATACACTCACCTGATCCTTCAAGAAAGAGTCCAAGTAAACAAGAAAATGGAAGCAACGTTTCTGCATGAGCAAAACGCAATCTTGCCTTCTCATAACTCCCTGGGACATATCCCTCTGCCAAAAAAAAAAACAATTTTGATGTCCCAAATCAGCTAGACTGGTGAATCCTCAGTTGACAGAGCATGTCCACTTCTTCTGCTGCTGTCAAACCACTTTACAAGAATCCAATAATGCATTGGAAAAGCTTTTGATTTCCACAGTTACTATATGGTCATAAAGTAGGAATACTATGTCAACTTACAAGTCAATTTTATGCAAGAACACAAGAATTCCACTTAAGCAAAATGACTGGCAGTAAGATAACATGCACGGGACAGGAAGGAACATTTTCAGTTCCTTTTCTCTGAGACGGCTAGCATACACTTACATTATATTGGAACCATTTGACCTAATGGTTTTCCAACAGTGTCACTGGAACTTAACTACAGATGCATGAATTCTGCCTATTTCCTTTCCCTTGACCAACTTTATCTGCTTCCACTCTATTTCTTTTTATTATTTCAAACTTCCTTATGCTAAAGTAGATTTCTTATTTCTTTAGTCCATCTTGCACCATACACTAAATCGTTAGTCATTTTGCACCAAACACTAAATCGTTCAGAAAATCTATTGGTTTACTAATACAATGGGCACTGATTTAGAATACCGCCTACTTTAGACTGGCAACATGTTATATTAAAATTTCAGATCCGTCAAAATAATTTTCTTCACATAACTCAAAACTTCAACTCCCTTGTCCTGCCAAAAAAACAAAGTAATGGTATGTAAAGGTAAAAGACCATAAAAAATTAGTTTAGTGGTATATTTCACCTTCTTTAGCTTTAATTGCTTGCTCCATGGACTCAATAACATCTTGAAGCAATGGCACTCCCATTCGGTAGTTTAAAGAATTACCATAGCCTTTCAGTATGAATATCTCCACATCATCTGTCCACTCCAATAAAGCAACCTAGAAGATACTTTGGTCAGAGAGAATCAGATGCAAGGACTAATTAAATACTGCTATAATTCCAACAATAGTAACATAATATACAAGATGATGACTGAACATGTAGTTATAACCAAAGCCCTTTAGAGTTTAGCGTCTTGTAAAATTTCCCATCTGAATTCCAGGAATCTAGGACATCCTCAAATAACAAGCATGTAACAAGATTATTGCCAAGTGCAGCGGACAAAAACATAAAGAGTTAGGATGTAACCTCAGATGGACTGAACAGACCACAGGCTTGGTCATATATCTCCAGTAAGGATGCTTCCTGGAACAAACAAGTCAGTTTGCAGTGAGATGATATAATAATTTCAATTAAAGCATGAAAGGATACTTAATTCAGCAGTATGCCATCGGGATACTGGATATGCTGGTACCTGTTTGCATAGCAACCACAAAGAAGATGTATCCTTTCTTGTGAAGTTTAACCCATAACGCTGAACCAGTGCAGTAGAAATTTCATCTAAGACAGGCTCCTTCAATTTATCAACAGCAGGTTCCTGACTTCTTCTAAAACTCTGCATACACAGATGAAAAGAAAAAAGCAATCCCTCAACTTTTGATCCTCTCGAGACAGTGACAAACATCAATCCAACTTTGGGACAGGTGAGATACATTTATATTTTGTTAATATCCCTTTTACTACCTCAAACCACAAGCAACTGTTGAAAAGGAACCATTGAATTAGGTTTGTCAAAGCTATTCTTCCCCTAAATTACCCTTCTAGAGTTTAGTGGATGTTTAATGAATTAATAAATAAGTATGATAAAACTATTTGGATAAAGAGGGAAAACTTGCACGTATACACTGGCTGATGGAAGAAAAGGTAAAATCAGCGCCATGCCACAGTACAAGCACTGATTCAGAATCTAATCATGTAAACTCTGAGATCACATCATAAGATCTATAAAAGTACCTTATAATTTTGACAACAATCATGAAATCTTAGCACTGTGTCACTAGCACGGCTTTCACTTATCACAGCAAATGCACGATGACGTCCTGGGCCAAGATTCCCTTTTCCACTGAAGAGACCCATGCCAAATGCCACCGCACTAGCTGATGCCCGAGGAACCTACTCAATCGCAGAAGCTAATAATTAAGGCTAAGAATGTAATGGAGAAAATTATGGCTGCTGCACCATCAATCTTTTGTAGCTCAGAAATCAGCCATAAAAGACAGGAACAACTTTGGTAAGTTGGTTGTCACGTGCATGTGCTAAATTCTTATAACAGATACGCTTCAGATGCGAAGCAAATCCGAGGATAAAAGGTCTCAAGGAGAAATGTAAGTTATTTTGATGACACAGCAAATTTGCAGCTATTAAAGCTTTTCTGTGTATGGTACAGAGCAAAATCCAACACATAAGTTCTCATCAATCAAGCAACCTACCAAAACACAAAGCAATAATTCCCTATATACATCTATTATCACCCATCCGATAAACCCCATAACATAATGAATTAAACCAACATACCAGTGGTCACCCCTAGTAAACTGTAAACCAAGTTCCACGACAGAAAACCAAAAGTTCACCAGATTGGTTCTCCAGGCCTCAAGAGGCATGGATAGCCTTCTGGCCTGCTTTTAATGTCACAAATAAAAACTCAAAACATGTCTCATAAATATATGTAAAAAAATTTTAAGATAGTGAACCTGTGTTGCTTTTATCGGATATATGTCAGGGCGGTAGTCCTCATCAAACAATTCCGGAAACATATCTCTGATTCTAATTCCAAGATGGTATAGGTCATCTTCACCTTCGCAGATCAACTCACCACCTATAAGCTTTCCTTTCCAAGGAGATTTCCATCCCCAAAACCAGGAAGGAATCTTGTTGGACGACTGCTTCAGCTCTTTTGCATCATGCAAGAGGACTTCCAAGCGGGAGGCCAGGGCATCAAATTCTCTCATCTTTTTCTTAGTTGGAGCACGTGTGCCATGCCTTGCCTGCAAAACAAACCTTTTCATTTATTTTGAAAGTTCTGATGAAGTTGCGTGCAATAATGTGCTATCATTTGCACAGCATCAATAGAGCGTTGAAACTGTTGTTATGACAGAAGGAAAATAGATATTGGATGAGACATTACCCAACTCCAACTTCAGATTACATACTGTAAACCTATGTTCAAGAAGCTGATACTCTAAATTTCATAAAGTCTACTCCCATTTTGGCAGCCAAACAAGGATATCAAAGTCAAAACTTAGACAAGATACAAAATTTTGTACGAAGGAATAAAACAATTAAGGATTCCATATTTTTCCAGAGTAGGTACGTTTTCTTTTCAATGCAATAGCATCTTCGTACCTCGAAAAAAATGTAACAGTTTCTTTGTTCCATAAATTAACTGACTTAGACAAGTGTCTAGCATTCTTTATGTGATTATGAACTACTTATTGGTATTAGGATCTGAAAGACGTCTTGCTGTAGCTATTCACTACTCTCTCTCATGGAAGTGAAGCCTATGAGACTATTAGACTAATGTTTGAGAAAAGGATGACTAATGAGAAGATGAACGAGCTAGCATCACCTTTATACCCTAAACATGAAAAGTAGTGCTACCTAGTACCACTTGAACAACAAGTGAAAGCATTTAAAACGTCATTATCACAAACATAGCTCTGAATCGTTGTTATTAAGTCACCAGGATACGCTTCACTGACATCCCAATCTTGAAACAATCAAAGAGTGATGATAAACGCATATTACCACAAGATTTAAATGGATTGGAGTACAATGCTCAGGAATTTTTGATGGCACAAATGAATTGCTTGTAATATCTTTCACAACACCGTATCTGAAACAAACAAAAGTAATCAGAATTCAGTACCGCTATGTCAAAAAAAAAAAACAAAAATTCCTACAAACTTAAAGGCTCTTTTAAATCCAAATGACACCGACTCTATTGACTTAGTGTCCCCCCTCCCCCTTTCCCTCTTCTATTTCCGAGTAAAAGCTTAATGCTTTAGTAAGCGCAGCAAATCAAGAAAAACATAGCTAAAATTTTACTTTTTCAATTTGTTAAGCAAAGACAAGTTTGTAAGCTTTCCCAATTACTAGACTTTTGCTCCTTCATTTACGAAGCAGACCGCAAAATCAGCAACACGCCTGTGCATAGTAAAAAAACACTCCAGTGACGGTGCTGTTCGCCTGAAATTCTACGCAACAAGATAATTCCTCATTGTACCAACAAAGGAAAAACAAAAATACTGAAAATTAAAAGTAAAGATCTCATTTTCACGAAATTGAAAATGTAAACTAAGTAGTATGTAACATTACCAACCTCGATACCGTTGAAAGATGATGCCGAACATCAAAGTTTTCATCAGCGGCTGAAATTGTAGTCGTCCCCGCCGCCGCTAAACATATATACACTAGAATTAGCATAAATCTGGTCATCGGAAATCGGAATTCTCTGGTTAATACTTTCTCCCTCTACAGGTTTCCGGCGATGTGTGTCGTCCTTCTGTTGAGGAATTTGAACGAAACCTCGGCTTTCTATTCCTGCTCCAAGTCATAAGACCGCGGCTTTCTTGCGTGCAGAGCAGTGTACTTTCACTTTAGTTTGGAATGGTTGGATGAGTTTATGATGTTGTCAAAAAAGTGCAAATGGATCGCCGGATGGAAGCCACGTGTAATTTATACAGGAGGCTTTCCCCAAAGAAGATCCGTTGCGTGCTCTTATTCTCTCTCTTTCTTTTTTGGGTCCAGTGGCCCGATGGCCCATTATTTGGTAATTAATTTAGTAAAAATTGCATTAATGTGTTACTGACGTGAAGCAACTGGCCATTTGGTCCAGTGATTATCACCAAAGATGGTGATGCTGGAGGTCAGGGGTTTAACTCTGCCTCCCACCAACTTGTCACTTTACGTGGCTGGTTTTTTGCCCCCACGGAATAGTTCGAGCGGTCCGCTCCCTTTCCTTAGGGTATGGCGACTTGAAGTTTTAGCCCTTTAAAATTAAAATAAGCAATTTGGGTTCTTAAAAAGTTAAAAAAAAAAAAATCTCACTTTTGATCCCTGATTTCCTTTCCAGTTGAATTTTGGTTGAAATGAATCACGAACACATCATATGACCAATTTTTAAAGGATAAATATGGGAACTCACTTAAATATTGATCAAATTTCTCACTTAATCCACTATTTTTCCTAATTCTTTTCTACCCAAACCCTCTTACTGCGAATCTATTGTGCATTTCATTCTTTGTGGGATTGGTTTAGGTTGAGTTTTGGAAAAAGAAAAAAAAAAATCGAGTCTAATCAGTGAATGTGTTGTTTTGAAGGTTTTTTTTAATTACTAACTTTTCAGTTAATTTTGTGGTGTAATGGGTTGAAACAAAATGTTTATCTTACCATTATGAAACCTCCTGCACGACGAATTGGATTATTTTTATATGTTTTGCCGTATTTCAGTCTTTGAGTTTCTAGTTTCTGATGAGAATGGCATTCTCTTGTTGGCAGTTATCTGATTCAAATTTCTCATAGGACATTGACTTTTAGGATCGAAGAAGTCATTCAGTAGTGTAATTTGATAGTCATTTTATTTGAGAAATTAGAGTAAGGAATTTAAAATTTGTTTTAATCTTTTTGTTTTCTCGGCTTTTTCTTTTTGTTTGTTTGTTTGTTGGCTATTCTTTGGCCTCCTTTTCCTACCGTACAAGTGACTGTGACTCGTACCCAGATGTGTATTTCTCAACCATTACCATCATTTCCAGGCAAGGGGGAAAGATGGCCTTGAAGCTTGAATTTGACTCTTAATCAGAAGTCATCAAGCTGTGATCAAGTGCCATTTGTGTGGGGAAATTGAAACTTGGATTCAAGAATTCATCTGGCTTCTGTGACGGAAAAATCGGGTATCGACTGAACCGGAAAGCAGTCCACATAGGGCAATACAATTGCTTTTGTCTAAGGAAAGGCAAAAAAAGAACAAAGAACGGCGCGCGCCCCACTCCCACCATATTACGAACAAACAATAGAAGTGCAGCCGCGCAGATGGAGGCTTAGAGCCCCGTGAAGATGATTCAATACAATTTGCAACTCTCCACTCGACCTGATCTTAATTTGATATTCAAAATAGTAGAAACATCATTATTATTTGGCTCACAGACAACAGTAAAACACAAACACCGAGATGCCCAATCAATTTATGCCGCCAAGTGTTTGAAGCACTACAACGTCAAAACCGACATAATGGTTGGGAGCAACTCACACTAGCTAGAAACATATAGTATATATATGACCATTTCTAACGCAGATTTAAAACATCACTACTTAATTTGTCAAAAGGAGGCTCAAAGCACGAAGGTCTAAGTTTCACGATGCTCAACTACTACGAACCTGTAATAAACTGAAGGCACATTCATCATGACCTTTTCTTATCAACAGCTCAAGCAATTTCCGCAACTACATCCCCACCAAAATCTCTAAAGCCAACAATCTAAAACAAAATGCTCCATCAAGCGACGGCTTTCCTAGTGCTCATGAAGGAGCGCTTGATCAAAGTGCCAGACACCTGAATTTCCAAAAGAAATAATTGTCTCAAAGAAAAGGACAAATAATAATTTCATCCACAGGAAGCAGAAGCAGCACGTATATATATATATAGAGAGATGAACAAATTGAACCATGAGAAGTTAGTTCCAACTGTGTGTACCATGTCCTTTGCCCACTCTTCTCAGCTGAGCCACATACTCCGAGATCTTCTTTATTGCCTCCACCTATTAACGAGAACCCAGGTATTGTGTTAAAAAGCATGCAACATACACATAAGTAGTAGACTTGATTTGGTTTATCTGATTACTATAATCTTAGTAACTACATAAGAGCAGAGGCCTTCTTATCACCTGCTCAACTAGAAATTCACTTTCAACAAAATCAGCCAACTGCACGTCATTGTTTTGGGTGGCAACCTGTTGCACAAAGTTGAAACACAGCTCAGCAAAAACCCATCAAGTATCTGGTCCCAAAATTTCACAACTCAAATTCATGGTTGGTTGTGAAGAACCCCAAAAAAAAAAAAATTTAATGTTGTATGTCTTACAGCATGTAACTTGAGAAGCTTCTCATTCACCAACTTCTCGAAACACAATGCAATCTCCATAGCTGTGTGACAAATCAGAACCAACCTTAAGTTGATACCAGAAACATCATCAACAGTAACAACGACGAAAAGTTCAAAAGACAATCCAGGGAAGATAGAAATACAAAGGGGCTAATCAGGCAATTCTAGACAAATCCTTACAAAAGGAACCATTTAAAATTCATTCCCATTAATCAAAAATAGTGACACCACACTAACAAACGAAAGGAGAATGAACTGTGTGCCTGCCAGTGAAAGCTACTTGGGTGATATTTTACACGGGATATTGCGCTACTAATTAATGAAACATGCTGAGCTAAGGCGGCCCATAGCAAAACCTGGTCCCTGTTTGTTGTTGATGTTACATGTCAAAAAATGGCCAAAGATCATTGGTAAGTCACCCATATAAAAATCTAGTCCTCATTTAATAATGACACGTACTATTCCAAAGAAAATAGCCACCCATTCATTTGGATAAGCATTGGAATGGAAAATCATTTACTACTTATTAAAAAAAATCAGGGAGTCCATCAACAAAAGCTACAACAGCATTACCATTCAGTGCGTCTCCTTTTTCTGGGTGATCGAACTCGGTATTTGGCTTGTTTATGCACTCGAACTTCACTCTCCCACCTCGTTTGTTCTGTTATAGGAGCGTAATAATGAATCTCGAGAAATTAAAACGCATACAAGATATATATATATATACAATTAAAACCAGAATGGATTAAAAATAAAACGATGCGTATCAACAAACACCTGATACTCCATCAATTTTTCAGCATGGTCCCTTTCCTCCTCACTGGATTCCTTGAAAAATCTACGAAAATGAAATAACAATTTAAAGAAAAAAGGAATTATTTAGAAAATTTGCCAACATATAAGTGAATATAGTACACAATTAAAAAGGTTATGCGAAATATTACTTGGCAAGACCCTTGAGAGCAACGTTATCCCTATCAAAATAGGCAAACAGGGCATGGTATATGTACGAAACAGTATATTCCACACTGCCACAAAAAGGGAAGGAAAAACATATCAAAAGTCATGACCCATTATATCACTGCAAGGAGAAATGAAAATTTGAGAGACAAACTTGATCTGTTCGTTGATAGCGGCTTCGCAATCATCAACAAACTTGTGGCGAGCAAGGGACGCCTGAGGGGCGGAAGGCACAAGCATAAGCTCCTTCTTCACTTCTTCAAAGGGCTCAAAAAGGATACCGGTCAAAGGTTGATTGTTGGTTTCCTTCTTAGCATACACAACCAAGCCCCCATTTCCATCCCTCGCCGGGAAGTTCTTTGTCAACACAGAGCCTTGGCGAGAAAATTGGGTAGAAAACGAAAACAGGGGACCCAAGTTCTCCCCTTTAGCAGGATTCAGAAGCGCAAAAGCAGGCGCGGCCTTCAGCATCATTCTCTCTCTTTTTCTTTAAAAAAAAAAACGAAGAAACAACCGTGGCTCTGGAGTTTAGAGTGGGGAAAATCTTTGAGGGGGGAAAATCTTTGATGGTGAGTGACTGGGAAGGGAGTGTGGCGAGGGTAAGATATAAAGGAGAGGGAAATGGCGAGGACCGTTGGATGATTGACACGTGAAGGGACAGGATTGAATGGTGGGAACAGGCGCGTGGCAGACTCGTGGTCGTGGCAGATATGGATACCTGAAGATGCTTCTGGGCTGTTTTGTCGTGGAATCCCGGTGGGTTATCCGTTCCAGCTGGTCCGCCTCAAAATGCTTTTCCAGGCAACATTTTCTCTCTTTTTTTTTCCCCTTTATTTTTCGAGGTCTACAGTTTCTTTTCTGTCCTTTTTTGCTATTAAAAAATGCGTTTTTGTTTGGAAAGGTGATCTGATTAGTGTGGCCTTTTGCGGGAACCATAACGTTGTTACTTTTAGAGGGCAAATCGCAAAAGTGGGGAGGTAGGATCTTGTTTTTATTTTGGGCCTGCGCTGTTACGAATAATAATAATCTTTTTGAAACTTGAAAAGCGGTGTGAACGCATCAAGATACCCAATGCAGAGAACAATTGGGAAATTAAACCAATCCTTGAATTATTGATTTGATTTATGAAAAGAAAATTATTGATTTGTTTATTTCGAACTTAATAAATGGTAGGTACATTCATAGAAATTTATGAGATCCGCACATTCAATCTTGTTTTTTTTTTTTTGCTGACAGAGTGGGTGTCCGGATCAATCCTTACGAGATTGATCAACCGAATTGCTCATGAGGGACAGACAATTTGGTGGGAGGTAAGGGTTGAACCACTGACCTCCCACCCCACCAGAAGAGGGGGTGGCCACTGAGCTTTATTCAATCCTCAATTTCTTCCTCTCTTTTTTCTCTCCCTTCTGCTTTATACGGCTTATAAGTATAATCTCATTTAAATTGAAAGCAAATCAACCTATTTTGACGTTGAAGTTGCTATGAAGAATAAAACAAGTAAGCTTTTTAGCAGTGCTGCTAGTGGTTTCGTTTAACCAAAAAATAATACATGAAGAAAGAGAGAAAATT